TAATTAAATTTCAAATGACGCGAGCCAACAGATCACGACACTCTCGTATATAAAAAGAGCGTGTGAATTAAACAAGTCACATATTATTAGCACTGATGAAGATCCGGGCTTACGGATCGAAAGCTTTGCAGTAATAAATTTACGTGGTGTTTCCGCAAACAAAAACAATTAAAGTATATATACTTGTCTGTATATATGTTATGTCACAAACTGCAGATAAGGAAGTATATGATATTAAGAGGAGAATCTTTTGTATGTCACGCTCAAAACTAACTTTCCACTTGGTTATGACTATATTCAATTTTTTTAAAATTTTGATACGTTTCTCCAGCGACAAACAAACTTAACAAGTATGTCTAGTACCTTATCTGTAAAATAATGCTAAAATGAAGAGATTTTAAATAATACCCAAAAAGAAAATTATGTCTGAAGTTCAGTAAGTTTTGCTTATATTGCTGTATATAAATATGGCGCCAATTTTATAGGCTGAGGAAACAGGCTCTCTTTGAACCCTCTTTGAAATTTGAGAGAGAGCCTACAGGCATAGCTAATAAACTATGCGTCTGTGGCGTTGCTTAGAACGACGCAGGGTTCCCATTGGTTGAAACCAAGTAGTTGGTTATTAACTACATCATACTGCCATAAAAGGTAATGAAATTTACACAACAATAGATTCAAGATGTCAAAACAAAGCGCGGAAATCGAAAAATATCGTTCTACAGGGTGTATCAAAATAAACGCAATTCATCTTTTGTGCTTAATAACTTTCGAAATACTATTTCTAGTTAAACGCTTTTAGGCTTACTTCAAAGCCTGTTCTTTTCTCTTTCAAACAAACGATTATCCTTGTCTCCAATGCTAGTAATAATTGCACAGGAAAAGATTTAGTAAAACCTACCATTTTTAGTTGCTGTTTAATTATGCAAGTTTACTATGTTATTGTTTAGTCGGTTTAAATGTTAGAATTTTCTTCTTTAAACTTTAATGTTGTCGTCACTACATCTGGAAAACCACGTAAGAACAAATGAAAAGTATTTTAAAAGAGACCAGGTTGTTTGAAAATCCTAAACGAATGCTAAAAATCATAGAATCAAAACATTCTGGTGTCTGAGCCAGAGTGTCATCGAATTGCGATGTAATGTAAACAGAAATTATAGCAAGCTGATGTCAGTCAGCTTAGATGGTCCAAGCCAAAATTATATCGCATTTGAAGTTTCAAACTGTGTTAAAAATAGGGGAAGAAAAGCCGTAATTATACTTATTGTTACAATCCATTTATTAAAATGCAACATTTTTTTGTTTTAATGAAAAAATCAGTTATTTTCATGAGAACGAATTGTTATTCCATCTCAATTTTTTTAATCTCCAATCGCAATAACGCAAAGTATTATTACCCGCGAACCAATGAGTCAAATTTAAGAAACAACCCACTGTTAGAAAGCTGAATGGCTACGCTTTAAAATGAATGTGAACTTTAACGTTTTCGTCTATTATTTGTTTAGCAATTTACATTTCAGTCGAGGATTGCGCTTTTTTTGATACACCCTGTATATAAGGGAGGAGTCTTGCGCAATACCCTTACAATGATTATGCGCCATACAACTAAAATATTGTGGCATGCAGGCTGGTTGATATATAGTCACAGTTTTTCCTCCTGACTCATGGAGGAATCCTTGGTTGTAATATGAATGTTATTTATTTTTAGGGAAGTGATGACTCGATCGTTTCCTGAATTTTATGATTATTACATTTCCGTTGCGAAAGAGAAATCCTTTTTAAGTGGAAAACAGATGCAGGTAGCATAAACTAATATTTGTGTAGGATTTATTATTTCTTCATATTTTACAAGAATTACAGGCGGTGGCCAAAAAAAAGTCCCCCCCCCCCCATGTAAAATGACATTCCTGGTTCCTTGTCATTGCATGCGAGGAAAGTGTTAATAAAAGTTATGTTTTTCTACTTACTTGTGCAGCTTTGAGTATTAGTGGATGAAACTGGTGATTTTAAGTCACTGGTTAGAAGACTACATGCATTCAGAAAGTTTTTAAATCTAGATCCAAGATGGCGATTTTGAACAAGAAATTTGCCAACATTGTTTACTTCTTCGCTTAATTTAAAAAATGTTTAATATCCGGAATTTACTGAGAAAAATGAGTCCAAATCTGAAACTATGTAAAGCCCACTAGTTATTATAATTATTTCATGTGCGTAGTAGTGTCTTGAGGATACTGAATGGCCAGAATGTAGTTCTCAGGTAAGTATTTGTTATGATAAAAAGGTCCGCTTACATAGCTTCAATTACTGTAAGTATAACCGTCCAATTGTGGAGTTATTGTAACATTTCAGTAGACCATTTCCACACAGTTCTATGCAAATGTTGTTGTTTTTAAGCTAACTGGGTCTATAAGCCAAGAGTAACAATAGTTTGATTTCTGCCTCCTTAATGCACGAATCTATAAAAAAGTTCCATCACATGCACGTGTAAAAATCTATAATAACTAGCTGTGTCACATCAATCTGACCCTGCAGATTTACAGAAACCCTCACCCAGTTTATTTCTGGACAAGCTATGAAAAGTGAAAACACTCACTATACAAATTATTTAACAATGTTTGATGAATTTCTGGCACCAAATTAATGCGCCATTTTGAATCTAGATAAAAAGCTCTCTAAACGCATGTAATCTTCTAACCAATGACTTAAAATCACCAGTTTGATCGACTAATACTCAAAGCTGCACAAGTAAGTAGAAAAACATAACTTTTATTAACACATTCCTCATATGCGATGACAAAGAACCAGGTATGTCATTTTACATGGGGGGGGGGGGCACTTTTTTACCACCCCCTGTATTTGTAATTACAATGTAGATATTGTTCGCAATAATGTGCATCATCATACTGTGGTTGCCGGTCAGAGGTTTATTTTCATTGTGTATACATGATTAGAAATAGCGATAGGAAATGTACCAGGTCCTATGGCTGAAAGCAGCAATAGCCTCGCTATCATGTAATGATATCTACTTAATATGCACTTATATATATTTACAAGAAAGTTTTGGCAACTAGGCTGTTGCAGTGTTCCTGCCAAAACGTTCAAGTAAATATAACTGCATGTAAATTTTCGTTATTATAATGCCAAAGTTAATAAATTAAAATAAATAATCAACCAATCAGAGCGCACATGACAAATTTTGAACAAAACCAATTAGAGAACTTCTGTGTGTAATTGTGCAATCAGAATACAGAGTCCGAATCTGACTTTAGTTTAAAGGCACTGTTCAGCCTTTTGAATGATGGTTTTTAAGGCGCATTTCAGCCCTTTTAATTGAAAAAACTAACTAGGAAAATCAATTAAGCATAATTCAAGATCAGGAAACTTGATGTTTTTAACATTTTAAAACATTTTTAATTTTTTATTGTCAAAAACATTGAGTTTACTGATCTTGAATTATGCATAATTGATTTTCCTAGTTAGTTTTTTTTCAATTAAAAGGACTGAAATGCGCCTTAAAAACCATCATTCAAAAGGCTAAACTGGCCTTTAAACCGATTGGCGCGGTGCGATCAATCAATTGCCGCTTTCAACCACAGGTTTATTTTCCATTGACCAATAAAAACAAACTTCAAGTGATTTCATTCAAACATGATATTCAGTTACAATTACAAAGGCTGTGTATTTATGTGTAACTACAGGGCCGCAGAGAGAGGGGGGCAGGGGGGGGGGGAATTGCCCCGGGCCCCGAGTTGCTGGGGGCCCCTGAAAAATTTTTGTTGGGCCCCAGCCTTTTTTGTGTGTTAAATATTTCCGCGCAAAGGACAAGAGATCTGTTTTCTTGGGCTAAGTACCGAATTTTGGCATAAAAAATGAGATAAAGTCCCTCGAAAGCAATTGCAACGTACTCGTCCGGAAAAATTTTGTACTCCGGAAAACAATTTTTATCCCTAAAATGTTACACTGACCGAAAATTTTTTGGCGACGGGGGGGGCGAGGTTGTTCTCCGGGAAAAAATTTTTCCGGGAAAATTTTTTTAGGGGGCCCTAAAAAAAAATTTTGCCCCGGGCCCCCGCCAACCTCTCGGCGGCCCTGTGTAACTATAAAGTTATATTATTACTGACAATAATATCCATTGTACATGTACACAGTCATAACATATTGTACAACTTGTTTACTAGAAAATAAGAGTTAAATAATCTGGAGTCGACTTAAATAATCTGGAATTAGACAAGGCAAAATAACCTACATTAGTATATTTCAGTATTGAAAAATGGCCTTTGAGCATTCTGATTGTCTCCCTCAGCAGTAACTCTGAGGCAATAGTTACTGCTCAAACTGCTCTGAGCAGCAACTATTGCTTTTCCCAAAACAATGGCTGAAAATCAGACGGAAGTGAATTATTTATGCAATATATATTCATAAAATAAACACGCGCATTAGTTGTATTTATAAATAAAACTTTTTCAATACATCAGATTCGGTGATTACAAGCCTATATTCACTTCGCCTTCGGCTCAGCCTTGTAATCTCTTAGCCTTGTAATCACCTCACCTTCGGCGACTAATTGTTAAGTAGTTTGGCGCTTTAGGGCATGCTGTGGCATAATGGGTTAACGTTTACAGTAATTTACCAGTTTACATAGGCGGCCAGGGATTGCGCATTTAATGTAATTCTAGTAATGACGGATAAATATAGCCAGGTACATCATCACTTGAATTTGTAATATAGATTAATTAACAATTATTCGCCGAAGGCGAGGTGATTATAATATTCCCTGATAATCACCAAGCTTGAGGCGAATAATTGTTTTAGTATTTTTACAACAGTCTTTTGTGTTTTTTGGGACTGAATTTATTTTAATTTCGCTTATTGCTTTATCAGTAACTTCCACAAAACGGCTATTGCCGCCATTTTTCAAATTTCAGTTTTGTTATATTCACGTGTAGGTGAATATAACAGTTTATTATTAGCATGACAAAATTACTGGATGCTGATTGGTTGAGAGGAGTACAATTATTTCATTAATTGTACTGCAGTACAATTAATGATTTTCCCAAAACAAACAAAATGGCGGAAAGGTATTTTAAACACAAACGTGAACTGAAATTGCCCTTGAGGAACTAGATGAAAATACGAACAAAAGCAGCAAATTTTGCTTTAGCAAAGAACTAAATGAAAATACGAACAAACGCACCAAATTTTGGTTGAAAGTCTGGCAGGACTGGGCTTTGGCGAAAGAATATGATGTTGACATTGATAAGTATCCAATTTTGTCATGCTAATAATAAACAAGTAATCATGCGATGTTGCTCGTACAATTAGGGATTAGTAGTACTCGTGATGATTGGAAATTTGCCAAATTGGACTCGCCCCGGCGGCTCGTTCAATTTTGGCAAAATTTCCAAACATCACTTGTACTATTAATCCCTAATTGTACTCGCCATCGCATGATTACATATACTAAAAAGGCAAATTTGACCAATCAACTTGTAGGATTTGTTATATTCACTTGTGCAAAAATACTAATAATCAATATTTAATTCATCGTTAATTCAAATGTTTTCTTGCCTTAGGATCCGTTCGGCGATAAAAGAGGAAAATTCGATTACGAAAGTATCCTGGCCAAACTGGAGAAAATAAAATCTAGCTTAGACACCAAACAAGCTCGTTGTTCTTCTGATCTCTCTGGTGAAAGTTCTGGTGACAACTGATCACATGTTGTTATCCTATCCTCTGACCGAAATGGGATGTGCCAATTTCATCATCAACACACCCGTTTTCAAACCGCCAACCTGCAGTACTGCTACTATTCAAAATACCCAGATCACTGCCTTCTTTTTCATAGGTTCGCACTAAATTAGACATTCTACTGTCCGCGACTGTACGTATCTTGTGCAAGGAATTTTCACTTGATTTCAAAGAGAACGTGAAATGAAGGTTACTGTGAGAATCGGCATTCCAGGTGCAACAAGGCTGAACAAATATACACAAAGAGTATGCGAAGCAAGTATGTGTGCTTCTACTTCCATTTAGTCAGACTGTCATGACCAACAATTGAGTTACTTGCATCGCTTATCTTGACATACAGTAGTGAAGCCTTAAGCCTGGTTTTCACGTGGTCATAATGAGAATAGGGTATACAAATCCGTCGATCGCCAAATTTGCAGCAAATCCTTAATCAACAATAGGTCTTATCTAGAATTTGGATCCGCTAAAAGCTCTACTGTGAAGTCACAATCCAGGATCCGAACTAAGTGCAGAAATCACAATCTGAGCCAAAATGTTAGATAAATCCGCAAATCCGTGTAAAATATTCGCCAGATCCAAAATCCGAACAATTTTTCGGTGGAATCCGACGATCCGAACCTATTCAACCTCCCCCCCCCCTCCCGTAATGGTCGTAAAGATTGAGTCACGATCTTTCTTATCAGCCGAAATACAACATTTTAGAACTGAAAATACGCGGAGTGATTATAACTAGAGAATACTTATGATTTATATGTGGTCTACAGGTATAAACTATTATAAACTGACCGTTGAGAAAGATCGTGACTCTATTTTACGATCATTACGACCATATGGAAACCAGGCTTTAGACAGCCAGTCCTCGAAAACCGTCAAAGTTGAGGTCGGCAAAAAATACCGACCTAAATCAGACCTAGGCATTTTTTAAAAATCTGTTTCCTTGTCTTGGAGCACTAGTAGTCGCGTATTTACGAATCATTGAAATCGGAATATAAAGCATTGCCTTTTCCCGCGGAAATGCGAACTACAGTAACACGACGGCTTTTCTTTTGGAGTCTTACCTAAATTATATATAGAATACCCGTCAATTTTTAAACCTTACACCAAAGTGTGTTTAGTTGATCGAACTACGAATCGAATTCTATAATCGCTGAGTTTTTAGCAGCAATAAGCACCAAAAAATTCTTACTTTGACTGAATTAAGGTTGGCAAAAATTTGCCGACCTGGGAGGTTTTAATCTCCCAGGTCGGCAAAGTAAGAATTTTTTGGTGCTGATTGCTGTTAGGTCAGCATTGCCAAATGCCGACCTCGTTTTCGAGGGCTGGACAGCCATGCACGACCAAGGAAATGGTAACTAGGCCATTCCATAGCCTATCGAAGGGAAGATGGCTGTGAATAAGAATATAACATTTTCTATGTTATAGTGAACGTTTATTCATAAATCCGGTCCTTCACCGTCACGTGCGTATAGTATTCCTGCCCAACTAACCAATGGCAATGTTTTATTTATTTATTTATGAACTAAGGTACAGACAACAGGACTGAAGAGTCCTAAATTAAGTCCTACCTACACATTACATTGACATTGTGAAACAATAGAGACAGGGTTACAAACTTTAACAAAGCTACAACACAAAATTACAACACACGATCAAAGCGTTCCAAACCATCTTTACACTTTCCAAAGTTAGTTTAAACTAGACACGGACCGCCCATATATTGCAGTCCTTTCTAAGTCAACTACCTTAAGATGAAGAGACCTGAAAATTGAAAAATGGGGTTTAGGAAATGACCAAGTTACCAAAAACTTTTATACATATAAATGTATCAACATTGTATAGCACAATCACAGAATACAGTAAACAACCTAAACATGCATGTGTTCCAAGCTGTCCTGGAAAAAGTTGTCCCTGCATTTTCCAAAAATAGGATTTCAAGAACATAGACCGCCCAAGTAAATTGTTTTCATCTGGCCTTTTGATTTAATTTAATTTATTTAAACGGACTGAAACAAAAGACATTTTGGAAATGCAAAGACAGCTTGGAACGCTTTCAACTCTTATGAACAACAAGTAATAGAACAAGAACAACATTTATAGAACAAATGCTTTTTCATGTCCTCGGACGATCAACGTCAAGAGAATGTTTCAAGTTTGTCTTGGTAGTAGTTCTTCAGTTTATATTTGAGTATGGCAGTAGAGGCCACGATTTCAGTTCTTCAGGAAGGTTGTTCCACAGAGGAACAATTCTGTTGAAGAAGGAACCTCTGAAATAGGCAGTTCTGCAAAGGTTGGGTCTGTAGCAAGCGGGTCAGATGATGGGTAGGGTCGGGTCAGTATGGAAAGTTACCTATCTGTGAGTCGAACAGTAGAGTAAATTGGAAATTTCTATTGGTGGATTTGGCAAAAATACAATATACACGTGACGGTGAAGGACCAGATTTATGAATAAACCTTGACTATAGAATAACATAGATAATGAGTTACTGTATATCCTTATTCTAATGAGTTCTTCCTTTCGATAGGCCATGCATATAATTTGGAAATTAATCAACTGACACAGTAGAACGATTGTGTATGCAACTACACATTTTGCTGTATCAACATGTACATAAAAGTAAATAATTTACATTAATAAAATTTATTATTTAACAAGTGGGTATACATAAGTCATTTTTGTTAGTTGAAACCTCCACAATCATGAACTAAGTCAGTTTACGGACCTCAGCCGGGATTTATATACAATGTTGTCATATAATTAGTGCTTGCTAAGCTTGTATCTTTCAGTCATGCATTTATACAATTATTTAACAATTTGGTGTTTTTCTTCATTTGTTTGAGAAAAAGCAATGCTTTAGCTAAATATTTATTAATTATAACACTTGTTTGCTTTATAGGTGGTACAAAGTGTTAAATTTAACGGCAAAAACCAGATTTCATTTTTTTACTGCATCCCAGTAAGCGGGCTGGCGTGTTCTTATGGGAAATGAAGTGTACGTTTTTATGCAACCAACCTTGTACCCACGCCTCTCTGTGTACAAAGTCAAAGAGAACCCTGGGAACGAGGTTGCCATGCAACTTGCAATGATCATCATTAATCAAGGCCGTTGAGGCCGACTCACAGATAAGATCAAATGAAAGTGACAGAAAGAATTAGAGCAGTTTGCAGTTGTTTTTGCAAACCGGGCACCGTGCGAATTTTCCATTTCACCCATTTGTTGTGCTTCATTTGCCAAATCAAAAGAACGAACGCGTGCTCCAGCCCGATTTCCGGTTCTGAAAGGCCCGATTTGCAGGTAAACAGCTGTGCGCGCAAAGCAGGCTGGTTATTTCCCACTGTTTAGCTGCCACAGTAGTCACACACTCAAGTAACCATTCGCAATATCCGTGAGTCAAAAATGGTATATAACGTTTGGCGCCAGATTGTCAGTCAAAAGCCAGTAGGAAGCCATTCAGTGTATGGACATGGCGAGACTAGTTAGTTGCAAGAGGGATGTTGCACTGTGCAATACTCTCATAGGCGTACCGGGCTGATGCTTTCCAGGGGGCAGTTGAAAGTTTGTCCGAATTTTTATCAGGATTGTAGTGAAATTACCTGAATTTAACCTATTGTCTGATAAATCTGCCCGAATTTTCTTCATTTTTCCTAGCATTTGCCCGAATTTCCATGGTTTTCCAAAATTTTGGGCTCCCGTCTCGTACGCCTATGAATGCTCTAAAAATTCGTTGCCGTGGTCGTTGCGAAAAGTCTTTCTTTTTTTTCTTTCTTCTTGCTTGTTGCAACAAAAATGTTGCGAGACTTGATGATTGCGAGGTATGTTACACCTTGTAATTTTGCATGTAACTTGTATTGCAACAAAATTGCGAGATAAGTTGCGAGACAAGTTCCATGATGCAACAGCGCCGGCAACGCGACGACACAGACTATGACACAGAGTTAATAAACGCCTGCTCGCAGGCTAGCAACACTGAGAAATCATTAATATTTAATTAAATTGAATGTTGCAAAATTATAATTAAAATATTATTAAAATGGAGATGTTTGAATGTTGTGGCTTAATATGACGCTGCAAAAAATAATCCCTGTCAGCTGCATGGCTTTCAGGCTTTGTGTATTTAATAAAGTTTATTTGCAAAGAATTTTCACTCGACTCCGCATTTGAATAGTATGTTCAACACAGCACCGTGCCACCGTATTCGTACAGTTCGACTCTCAAACATATGGAGATACTTGCATTCTTTATTCAGGTAAACTAAATATACTGTGCTTCTGGTTAACTATCTGTTAACTATTTTCAATAGTGCCATGTGCTCATGTAACATGTAAATAATATATCTATGAATATATTCCCATTTTGTTCAATTAAGACGCAAGATAATTTTGTCACAAATCATTTGTATACGTGTATCTAATATGTTGTCAACATATCAATGTTGTTTAGAATGTTAGAATGTAATTTCACATGCTTCCTTTAATTCTTTTTGGCAAGAAAAAAACGTGACTTTTAAGGCAAGCCGCCAGTTTATGTTAATACTTACAAGCACTATAAGTACGTTTACATTTGCTACTTTCATTGTTTCATATGAGATGCTGTGTGTTTTATTGTACATACAGTACTGGTGTAGTTGTGATTGTACAATGTACGTCGAGTTCCCATTTATTACAGATTTACAGGTACATATTATCAATGTACAGTATGTTAGTACTACAGTTTGTTGCCCTATAAACAGAATTTCTAAGATTTACACAAGGTATCTGATTGTATTCATAAATTGACTATCACTGCATGGTTTGCTACTTAATCTGAGTGTTTTTGTAACAAATTATTAACTAATTGCTGTTCTTAGACTAATGATTCCTGTGATTGATGACATTATAAATCAAAAAGTGTTAAAATATATTTCTACTCATGATTTAATAATTTTGTAATGTTTATTGAAGGTTTTAATTATGTTATCCCGCCCAGTCAGCATTTATGATAATATTGAATTATCAGGTTGGTCTTTACATGGGACTTGTGTCCTGTTGACTATACCTTCCACCGTATCTATGTTTGCTCAGTTTTTCAAAAAATTTACTTGTAATATTTTTAAAGTATTTTTGTATGGTTGTAAAGTTAATAATTAGTAAAAAAATATTTATGAATCTCACAACCTGCCCTACCAGTGCAATCTGACCATTGAGCAAACGATAACTCTAGTATGATTGTGATGTTACTCTGAGTGCATATCCACACCGGGCGAGCTTGAAAAATATGCCCGGCCACGGTGGGATTCGAACCTACGACCTTTGGAATACTAGCCCCAATGCTCTTCCAACTGAGCTACGCGGTCAGGA